CGCTTTCACTTTCGTATTTGACATGAAACGCAGATTTAGCGGTAGGAATAACATCCTGCCCTACTCTTAATTCTCTCTTTATATGGCCGTATGCATATTGCATACCTATAATACACTGTGATATAGACTGGTTTGGACCGTATTGCTTTTTCACTAAAAACAATCCGCTCCAAAGTTAATTTCTATTGAGCCGAGACCACCTCATTCAGGCCATTTCGGACCGATTGTTTTGGCACGAATCCTAGCATGATTACTGGATTCACAAATGCCAAAACAACTCACGCTAACTGGGGAAACGCAACAGGTTCCGAAACAAAAGTCTAGGTGTGAAAGCACCTTAAAACAAACTGAATTTGAAAACAAAAAAAAACAAAAATGAAATAAAATCTAATAAAAAATCCAAAATTATGATAACCTTGGTGTGCGTGCATGCATGCGTGTTTGTGCGTGCGTGGATGCGTGCATGCATGCGTGCGTGTGTGTGTGTGTGTGTGTGTGTGTGTGTGTGTGAGCGCGTGTGTTTATTTATTTAACAACAAACCCCTGTTTCTTAACCATTAACCTAACCTGCCCAATTAATCTAATTTACCCATACTTACCCAAACCTTACATTGCACTTTAAGCTAAAAACCAGTATCAAAATGAGTAGTTAAAGATGATGTACTGTCATCATATCAAAAAGAGGATTAATTAGTTATTTGAACACTTGTTGAAAAAAATCTTGCCGTTAAACAGAATTTGGAAATATTTGGATTTCACAGGAGGGCTAATCATTTTGTCATCAACTGTGCAATTTAATGTCTGGAATTAAAATGTTTTTCTAAAACTGAAGAAGTGAGTAGTTAAATTCCACCTTAGGAACTATATAAAAGCATTTTTTATACAAGTGATTAAGTTCATTTTGCCTATTGTCAAAAAATTGTAATTCCAAGATTAAAGTTTTGTCATGGCTTTAATAATCTGTTCCCCAATTGCAAGTTAATGGATTTTTAATTGTAGCATCCCATTATGTTTAGGCAATAAAGTATCAGCCCTGTCTCTTCTATTTTCAATAACTTCAAAAAAATCTCCCTGATGAACAGAACATCTTGTGAAAGCAAATTAAACATCTCAAGGAAAAGCAGAACAAGAGACTTTTTCCTCCTTCTTCGAGGTAGACATTGCTCTCTTTATTGAAAGATGACATTTAATCAATGGCCACCTCTTTAAATGGCATTCATTTAATTTGTGGGCCAGCCAGGCACGTCTGTCCTCTTCCCCATTCTTCGTGTGTGTCTGTGCGAGCGAATGACGTAGCCGAGACCTGCCGCGGCACACATACACTATTGATTACACTCAACACATCTTGGCAATTAAGAGATGGCAAGGTAGAGTAATAAAGGGTCATTAGCGAGGCTTGCTTGTGAACCCTCATCAAAGGTGATGTCGCCGGCAGGGGCGGAGCTCCCGCAGGGTCGCCACGGGGGCTCTCCTCATTTGCATATCTGCTCGGAGACGCACTGTGCCTGACCCCATGGCTGGGATCAGTATGAGTCGCTCCCGTTGATCAGGGGTTCACCACCGGTTCAAGGTAACAAAAAAGTGAACCCTTCGCCATTAATTGGTCCTGAGGAAGAAGAGAGGAAAAAAAAACGGAGAGAGAGACAAATAAAAAGGTTAGTTGGGAAGGGTGAGGGGGGAGGGAAAGTAAAGGCTGTGTGCTCCAAATTGGGTATGAATTATAAATAAGAGCGGTGGAGGCAATGTCTTCTCCTCTAGAGTGGTGTTGTGCCAGGACCTACACTGCTAAAGAGATTGTTTGGGCAGCAGGTATCGACTCGCTGATCGTCAGCTTGGTAAACTTGACCTGAGGCACTGATCATTGGCCGAGTGAGAAAGTCTCGACCGTTCTGAAACACACACACATGCACCTCTTTCCCATCTCAGTGCAACTATCTTCATCAATACAGCCCAGACAGGGGTCAATGTAATAAACATGGAGGTCAATATCATGGCCATCTGAGTACACTTTTGGCATGGGCCTTAAAGTTACTCTTTAATTGGATCCCGCCAGGCAAGTTCATGCACCAGTTGCAATTTCGGAGGGAAAAGTATGAGAAATCCTGATTGAAGAGGGAAAAGCACATCAGTCTGATCCTCTGTGTTCCACACAAACCCATGCAGGCTTTAAGCTGCGTACAGTGTGAATGCTTTAAAGTAGAATTGATCCAGCCGAGGTTCAAATCAAGCTTCCTCGTAAATCGCACAATAAATAAACAGACCAAACGTACTACCTGGGCAATTCCACGCCAGACTCTACCTGCCTGAATGGGCTGGGTTGTGAAAGGCTCTTGTGGGACTTTAAAAGGTCTGATGAGGACTTAAGGTGTGCATGTCACTTCACCTGGATCCAATGACCCAAACATGGGAATTCTTTAACCTGCTGCCACAGAGGGAAAACCGAGCCCTTTTGTGGATTAACTGATAGGTGTATCAAACCCAAGAGAGAGAAAATTTAATCTTCCATGGATTGCGGCCATTTCGTCCATTGTGCTTAAGTGCGCAATATCCTAATAGATGGAAAACATTATGTCAGTATGCATTGCACACAGACACCAACAAACTCACTAAACTATTTACTGTATGTACAGTAGTCAGATAACACAGCCCTAATCTAAGAAGAGTATTAAACTGATTTAGCTCGCACGGTTCATTAATGATGGGCAACGCGGTGGCGCAGAAGGTAGTGCTGTCGCCTCACAGCAAAAAGGTCACTGGTTTGAGCCTCGGCTGGGTCAGTCGGTGTTTCTGTGTGGAGGTTTCGCTTATTAGTGTGGGTTTCCTCTGGTTTCCCCCACAGTCCAAAGACATGTGACACAGGTGAATTGGGTAGGCTAAATTGTCTGTAGTGTAATGAGTGTGAATGAGTGCGTATGGATGTTTTCCAGAGATGGGTTACAGCTGGAAGGGCATTCGCTGCAAAAAAACATGTGCTGGACAAGTTGGCGGTTCATTCCACTGTGGCGACCACTGATTATGAGACTAAGCCGAAAAAAAAATGAATGAATGAGTTCATAAATTAAGATTTTCTGAAAAGTAATTTGTAGCCCTTTTTAATTCTAAAATGGTGCTGTTTGGAGTACAGCAACTTGGTATCCCTAACCCTAACCCTGAATTGTACCTTAAAGGGCAACTATTTTACCCCTTTTTTTTTTCAAAATTTTATTACGTTTTATTAAGTCTAATTTTATTAAGTCTTTTGTGTCTCCATGTTTCTGTAAAGTTTCAGCACAAAACACCCATCAGATTATTTATTACAGATTTCAGAAGTTTGTAACTTTCAGCTCTTTGTGGCTGTTTTTGTTTCCTGTGCCTTTAATGCTAGTTCTCTTCACCCACCGTCCCCACGTGCCTGTCAAAGTGTGCCTCAATCTCCGCCTCAGCTGCGTCAGATAAACAGCATAGTGACAGACATGAAGGAAGCAGATCTTACTGCAGATCTTACTGTAGCGTTTGTGAGAGATACTACAGAAAAAATATTTCCCAATGATTATTTGATGTATTTGTTGTGGAGTTAATGAGTCGATGAGAACAATGAGTCAGACACAATGTCATTACAAAGTTCACATATACAGACACACATTTAACTTGAGCTGAACAGATCTTTTAATCCAAGTTGCTTTGCGCACGTCCTGTCATGTTGATATGATTATACCCTTTACTATGGAGACAAGTTAATACGCAGCTGTCAATCAAATCTATGGGCTGGGAAACCGCACTCCTACATCATGTTGCAGTGGGCCTTAAATGGTTGGGATTTGGATCCTTTTTTAACGTCATGCCATGAATTTTTAAAAAAGACACTTATTAGTTGCGACCCAAATTGCTTACTTACGCACTATTCTATGCCATTCTGTTGTATAAATAGTGTAAGTAGTGCCTTCACACACAAACTCTAAAAATAATAAATGCACTTTAATTACCCACATGATGCACTTATTCAACGGGTACAATGAATTAATAATAATGGACACGTCACAAACTCAACGTTGCAGCTTTGCTCATGTAGCAGAAGGTGCGGAGCTATCTGGCATGTTGGATAATTTATTTTGTACTGTGAAAGCAAATTTCTCCTACGAGAGTGATTATAGCGCCTCCAGATAGTGAATGCGGTTATTCTCAGGCAGGTATTATTTGGTAGTTTGGTCATTCATTTCACTAATTTGGCAACCATCAAACATCATGTGGGAACAGTTTGAATTTCCACGTAGTTAAAAAAAAAAAGCAGTGTTCTATTTGAGACGACACTACATACACATACAATGCTGTTGAATGTATAAGTGCATAGTGTATAGTGTGCCATTTGGGACGCAGCTATTGTATTTATATCACCCCAGTATGGCTGTAGAGACACTACATACACACAGTTCTGTCCAAACATCTTCAAAAGAATATTTTCATCATAGGTGCCCTTTAAAGTGACAACTGATTTACTCTTTAAGGGGTGAAAATGTTTAATGCAGTGTGGATGCTACAATGCAAACACTGGTCCAGTGAAGCACACCAAGACCAGTGAAAATGTGAGGAAAAACTCTGGTGCACTCCCATTGTAAAATGTTATGTTTGTTTTGTTTTATATTTTCATATTTTTATATTTACTTGTTTTAAAAATAACAGTGTGAATCCTAACTGAGCCAGAACTGTAGCCTGTTTATCGTTTTCACTTTTGGATTACCTAATAAAATTAAACTACATGTGTGAACCCATCTTGAAGTACAAAAATACATGCTTTAGAGGTACAAAATCAATTTAAGAGTCTTGTGCTTGTGACAAGTACCTTTTTTTGTGAAGATTAATTTTTATTGTGTCTTGAAATTCAGTGTAGCTTATTTTGTGTTCAGTTTGACGTTCTATAGTAATAGGAAATATTCATAAATGTTTGTTTTTGGGGTCAACTATCCCTTTCTAAACTGTTAATCTGGGTTTAATCTGTGTTTGTTTTGATGGTATGTGTTTTGCAGGTACAGAGAAGCACGAGCTAACATCATGGAAAAGCTTCCAGTCCATCTTTAAGTTCTTCAGCAATGCCCTTAAAGACCATGAGGACGACTCCTCATCCAGTCCGGTCACCACACGCAGCTCCCACCGAATCAAACATGAAGACTTCTAGAGATCCCAACATAGAGTCTAGTATCGTTCCCTTTCTCCTGATTCTGTTTCTCCTCTTTTCCTTTTCTGAAAACATATTCCTCCTTGAAGCCCTCCTCCCAGTGTATTGTATGACTCTGTGGAGTGCAGGGTCAGGCTGTATACATCAGAATAGCGTTTTGCATTACTTCTGGATGAGTGCAACTGTCAAAGCAATATGGCTTCACTGCTTGTGCCTCCTGTGGGCCGCTGTGTGGATTTGGTGGTGGCCCATCGGTGGCCAGATTAAGGCTGACAGGCGGCGCCGCACACCGCCTCTTGATGCACCTCTAATTATCCTGACATTGTCCTGAACTGAGCTAATGCCTGGGAAGCACCTGCACACACACACACACACCCATGCCTGACAGGTCCTAGTGCCTGCCTGCAAAGTCTATTTGGTTTCCTGTTGTTTTTCTTCTTTCTTTTTTTCTTTGTTTTGACTGGAGTTTCACTTGCAGTTAAAGTACTGGAGTGCTTAGAAACTTTGTATGTCAGATGCTAAAGGCTTACAGGTTGTTTGTTCATACGCATAACACTTTAACAGGAAAAAGGCAACTTGCAGAGTCAAATTCAATGGCTAACTTGAGACTAGATTACGAATGAATAGAATGAAGTAAGCCATTGACAGCATGACAGATTGGAAGAATCCTCCTCTGTTTTTAAATCCCTTAAAACCTTCTGCGAGCATGAGTTTTAGAAATGTCTCCTTTTAACGGAGCAGATATGTCAGTCAGGGAATATCTTCCTGTGTGTCAGGATCAGGGAGATTTAATGGTATCTGAAGTATAAAAGCCATTCCTTTAGATGTTTGCTAATTGAACCTGCCCTTTTATTATAATTTTTTTGGCAGAGTCCATGACTATTCGGACTGTTTTAACATCTCATTGTCATCTTCTGCTAACGCTAAAGCGTGTGTTATGTTTCTGTCTCAGCTGAGACAAGAGGTATTGTCTTTTGGACAATGTAGTATTAGTGGAGGCTTAAAGATATGTCGCTCAGGCATGTCAACAGATCAGTCTGCTTTAACTTGAAAGTAATCTCTCAGTAAAAAGCTGCTCTGGTCTTGTCACTTTTTTAGAGATTTAATTTGTCATTAGATATTTAGATTGCTAAAGGTAAGTAATGTAAATAATTGTGCATATTTCATAAAATATGTTTTATCCAAAAATAGAAATGTGAGTAAAGCTGGGGGAAAAGCTAACACCCCAGATGCTTTCATATTAGGAAACTATTTTTTACAACCAATTAAACTTTTAAAAATGTCTGCAAATGTTCATTAAAAGCCACTGATTAACTGCAAGTTGCTTATAAATGCTGTCAAAAATATTTTGCTCAGATCTAAATATTGTTGCCTTAGGAAATAACACACAAAGTTCATATTTAATTTTATATATATTTTATTTTCAAGTAAAACCTGACAAGCCATATGCGAACTTCACTTGTACTAGGCGCAGCCTTAAACCAAATCGAACTTAATTGTTTTTTAAATTAGGACTCGTTTTAACAATTCATGTTTTAATCTTAGAGATCTACATTTTTATTGAAACATTCCAGTCACTCTGAAGAGGTATGCTGTTTGCTGCACACGTGAAGCTGTTCACTATTTAAGATGTTTTCTCACGTTTGTATTCGCTTTTAATTAGGATGCAATGAAATTAAACCTTGATCTGATATTTCACTTTTCATAACTCGTTAAAATATGTTTGTCTTTTGTCTTTGAATTAATGGCAGTTTGGTGCCCTGATTTCTTCATGTCCGTGTTATTTGAAGGTAATAATGATCTCCACACATGCAGTAATAAAATTCTTTATACAATTGTGCGTCGAGATCCCTTCGTTTGATTCTCGCGGTCGACTTTCTCTGTGTTTTTTTTTTCAGTACATAAACTAACCTGCGCACTTGCGAGCAGTTTGATGGACATATCTCACCTTCCACTTAAAGACACCGATGCACAGGGTACTCTTATTTACAATGTAATGATCGTAAAGGCATCGCTTTCAACCCAAGGAGTTGTCGGGTTAAAGTTCAGTCTAACGGGGGAAAGATCCTCGGAGCCCGATAAAGCCTGTTGCTCCAGCGGCTCTTCGCTCTGCTCTGTTCCCAGGGAAGGTGAGCCTGCTCGGAGAATGACTCGCTCTTCTCACGTAACAGCTGTGGAACTCTATCACGAAAGCTGATATTTGTGTCTAGATCGAGTCCAGGCCTTTACAATGAGACCAATGTTAACCAAAATAAGTGTCAGTCAAAGACGGAGAAGTATCGGATGAAGCCATGTCTATAGCACCTACTTTTTATGTCCCGACTGCTTGTTTTAGACCTTAACTCGCAAACCAGCGGTAATAATGGCCTAAAAGTGACACGGTCACAGCAAACCTGTCCCACAGAAAGAAATAATCACTGCTTCTGTTTGCTTTTGATTATCAATTGTTCTGACGGGAAACAACACAATTGTACTGTTTCCAAAACAGCTTTCGATTGTGTAAAGATGTGTAAAGATCAGTGCGAATTAAGGGCTATAATAAAAGGAAATTTTAATCAAAATTAGAAATAAAATTTGTTAAAACTTATTTTCATCTTTCAAAAATACAAATGAAATGCCCAAAAATATTTTTCTCGTGTTTCTTCTTGTCTACAAATAGAAATATTTCAGGGGGAAACCTAACAAGAATGTCAAAAGATGTTATAAACAAAATAATGGCTTTACTCAGATGGGATTTTTCCGTTTTATGATTTATCAGTCACATTCTAAAAAAAGATTTGTTATGTCAGTTATCTTTAGAGTGAAGTTTTTTAACATAAAAATAAATAAAAATGTATAAAGATAAAAAAAAATACTATACAAAAGCAGTGAACTTCAAAACAGGAAAAACAACAAAAACTAAAGGTATAGTTTTTGTTAATTTTTCTACTTCTTTTTTAACAAGACATTTATAAAGAAATTACAACTTGTTTATAAATCAGATATATCCGTCGATATTAACACGTATTAACACGATAATCTCGTTAAACAACTGTGTAAGCACATAGCCTAAACTTATCATTAAAAGCTTAGTTTTATTTGCTATTAAATTTTCTAAAAGATTATACAAAAAGCAGACACATTAAGGGGTTTCATATATAGTCACAAACCAGTTTTGTTTTATTTTAATAGTTTTACAAATTGTGTGATGTTGCTTAACACAGTTTAGGTTTCTAAAGATCAAAAAAGTTTCAACTGTTGGTTTATTGTGTGCAAACACCCATGATGAATGAATTGCAGACAATACACTTCTAAAATATATCGCCTAAAATACTTAGAACTCACTGCATTGTAGCGTACAGTGTTTATTGAATTTTCAACACTTTTTTTTCATTCTTTCCACAAGAGTCACATTTGACTCCAAACATATCGTATTTGAAGTCTTTGATATTTCAATTTTATCCGCGATTTGTCCCGCACGCTCTCGTCTCCTCCCATACTCTCATGCACCGCCAAATATGAACTATTCTCAAAGAGCCGAGCACTTGCCGAAGCTGGACTGTCACTCCTCCAGGCCCTTGTCTTCGGGAGTACTTTACCAGATCGCTGTCAGATCTCTATTTGCATAATTATATGCTCGGTTCTGAAGGGAAATCTAGCCCTCAAATTTTACGGGTCAGCAAACTGCAACAATAAATGTTTTATTGTGTCCTGACAAAGAAAAAAAACCTAATACAACTCTTTCTGAAATTGCCCCTCTTTACTTTCACTTCTATCTATCTATCTATCTATCTATCTATCTATCTATCTATCTATCTATCTATCTATCTATCTATCTATCTATCTATCTATCTATCATCTTTTTAAGTTCCTTTCGCATTGTAAAAAGTGCTATAGAAATAAAGGTGGATTGAATTGAATGTGTCTGTCTGTTAATTTTTCCCCTTTTTATCGTTCCCTCACGTCCCGTTTTGATTGATTGTTATTAGTTCATATAACACTCATGGCCCACATTCACACCCACCCACACGCGCACCTTGACTCCCCGAGGTTCCGCTTCCTCGTGCGAAAGAGCTCCGTTAATGTGTCGAGAGAGTGGGAGATGTTTTGGGGTGATCACGCCACAGAGAATCGGACAGCTGCTGTTGGCAGAGGCTTGTCTTTTAATGATTGCTTTCAGGTTTCTGTCCCCCTTCTGTCTTCGATCCCGATATTTTTAGAAAGACAATATGTGCGCGAGTGCAACGCGGTGCATAAAATAGATCACACTCTTCCTTCTAAACTGGAAAAAGGAATGCAACTTTCATCAAGTTATGTGAGGATGTCATGATATGCAGAAAAAGACAGAAAAGATTGAATTTGTTCCGAGTTGCTCTGCAGTGTTTGCGCAACACTTGCTCGAATAAGTGAATTATTGCATTTTGAGAATAATTGTAGCAGTCTCTCACACCCTGGGATCCCAGGTGCTTAATTTAACATGCCGACAGATCCGTAAGGAAAATAATAATAAATACAATAAAAAAGGGATATTTTTGTGGATAAATATTGGTTTGCTCTTGCTTGGACAATGATAAACGGACTTTGGAATTCAGCAATATGAGTAGGCGCGCGTATAAACTGATTTTGGTGCAGGTCAGAGAATATAATGTTTTGAATTCGGTTTGCGTGATGAAAAAGAATGGCGATAAGGCATCTAAACGATTATTAGCTCTGAACACACTTTCCTTTTTTCTTCTTTTTTAAGACAAATTCCCGTCAAATTTATTATGTGTCATACAACAGGAAAACGAATAAAATAACATGTTCCATCTCACAAACAGGCTTAATAAAAAAACAGCAACAATAATAATCTTGTTGGGTAAAGCCTGTTCGCAAATATCATGTCGCAAAAGTGTTCAATGTATCAAAAATGTTTTAAGTATTACTTATAAATGAAACATGAATAAAATTTTACGTAGGCCATAACGTTTTAAATACTTTTTTTAAAAAGTCTATATCTATATCTATTTTATATATATATTTTATATATAATTTATTATATATATATATATATATATATATATATATATATATATATATATATAGAGAGAGAGAGAGAGAGAGAGAGAGAGAGAGAGAGAGAGAGAGAGAGAATATGTAGATTTTTAAACTACTACAGCTTTTGTTAGAATATATCCTTCATAATTAAAACTATTAATTAAAATTAATAAAAACTCTGTGAACTTTATTAGAAGAACATCGCCATGTTTGCTAATCTTTATACTACTATTAGTAATACTGATAATAATGATAATAATAATAGTAATAATAATACTAACAAAAATATTAAACATATTATTATTTTTGTTTTATATATTTACACACGTAATTTATATATTATTTGTAATTTGTATATTATTTATATATAGGTATTATATATATATATATATAGTTGCATTAGTACATTTATAATAGTATTAGTAGAAATAGTGGCACCATAGCAACAGCATAAATAATAGTGCACACATCTTCTCTTGCCAGGCTAAGTTTACTGAATTCAGGTTTGAAAACTGTAGCAAACTAATAATAACTAAACTGGATGAAAACTAAGCTTAAATTAGATGCATTATATGAAACTAAGCTCACTAGCTATACATCTGGTCGCCCCACAGTGTCTAAAAACATTTTTCGCCACTCAGTTCTTAATGGGGGATTTTAAGAGCAAGGGCCAGAAGACCTGGGCTTAAATCACTTGGTTAAGGTCACATAGTAACCGGAGCGCTCGGAGCGTTACAACCTGTCATTTTACAGCTAGGGATGGAATTCCCACATAGGGTGCCAAGCGGGTCACCATGATATCCAGCGACCCAGGGTTAGGCCACGATAAAACCTGATCCTCTCTAAACAACAAGAGGTCTTTTCAATGAAACCAGACAACAGCGCCTTAAAACTCCTATTATGCGCCGAGCTCTCCACTCGATTTTGTAGATGTGAGGTTGGAGGAAAGGCTGAAGGCCTCTTCAGTCGGTGCAGTCTCGTCAGACGCGTATAGTACCCTGGTATTCAATCACGCATTATAGATGAGTCTCATCAAGCTTAACGGGTTCCTCGGAGGCTAAACACATTGGTGCGCGCTGCTGGTTGCTCCCACCTGAATATCCGGCGCGTTATTGCACAGCGCATCCTCATTAAGAAACGCCCCAAAAGATGAGGCTCTAAATTAAGTTATTGCCATCCAATGAACCCAAATTAGCAAGGCCACAGAGGTGCCCGTCTGACGGACTGCCGTTAAAAACAACCTGACAGGCAACAAGGTAGACTGTATGAGTGTGAAGGTGTGATATATATATTTCGCGCGTATATGAAGTGATAAAATGGATGAATGGCTAATATCCATTAATTGGTCTGCGATTGGTGGCTGCACATGCAGGTTTAGGCCGTCTCTGTCTCTTCTGAATTCAGTGCCGTCTCTCACCCTTCAGAGCGTGTGGTGTTCATACAAAATAGGCTGCTTTTCTCCCTTTCTCTTCCTCTCATCTGCCTGACAACCGTCACCGCTATAAACCGCTGTGTCCCTCCATTTGACTACCTGCTCTTTTATGTCTCTATCTGAATCAGCATACAGGATGAAAAACGCCACCCAGATCCGACGACAGCTGACAGCGTAACTTTTGATGGGAATGATGTGTCTGTGACGAGGTCTCTTATACCTGAGCGAAGGCGTAGAAAATGTGCCCAGTTAGTCTTTAAAGTGAGCTCGAGAACAATAGGTCTTTATTATTGTTTTAGGCGACTCCCCTAAAGCAAATCTGTCACTGAATGAGAAACTGACGAGGGTTTCCAGTGTGCAAGGAAGACAAACAGTGCTTCCTGCTCGCTTTA